CAAGTGAATTCATTTAACAAGAGGCATTTAAGAAGTCTCCTAGATATCCTAACTGGTATCTATGACTAGGACATAGATATTATTAAGCAATTCCGTTTCTTACAAGCAAAAAAGCCCACAAGCTAGTCACTAAAACTGGATTACACTAAAGAAAGGCTGGGACCTCAGGGTACCTTCTTAACCCTTTTCATCTCTGGTCAAACTGGCATGTGCCATATGAACTGTGAACTATGACCAGACTACCTGGGTTAGGTGATCCATGAGTCCATGAAACTATTTTCGAAATAGACTAAATGGCTATGTATTCAACACCTACTGTGTGCCAAACACTTCCAGCTCTGGTTAAAATTCCACAACTCTGAGTTATTAACCTCATGTCTCAATTTTTTTTTATTTTTTATTTTTTTGAGACAGAGTCTTGCTATTTTGCCCAGGCTGGAGTGCAGTGGCACAATCTTGGCTCACGGCAACCTCTACCTCCCAGGTTCAAGCGATTCTCCTGCCTCAGCCTCCCTAATAGCTGGGATTACAGGCGTGTGCCACCATGCCCAGCAACTGTTGTATTTTTAGTAGAGATGGGGTTTCACCATGTTGGTCAGGCTGGTTTTGAACTCCTGGCCTCAAACTGATTTGCTTGCCTTGGCCTCCCAAAGTGCTGGAATTACAAGCATGAGCCCCCGTGCCTGGCCGGTTTTAACTTTCTGAGGAACTGCTAAACCGTTTTCCATAGTCCATGACAGTAAGACATTTCTGTAAAGCCAATAACAAAAGCAAAGGAATGGAAGAAAGGCAAAATAGCACAGCTATAGGCTGTTTTGCCTATCTCTTATCCTTATCTCTTTACTTTCCTAATAAACTTGCTTTCACTTAAAAAAAAAAATATACAACTACAAAGAAAGGAAGTATGAAAAAGAATCATGACAGCTACTTTTCTATTTGAAACCAAGCTCTGCTGTGCTTGTTGCATGACCTTAGTAACGTTACTGAAGTTCAGAGCCTCAGTTTCCTATTCTACACATTAGTGCTACTATCATTTTTTGGGGCTATGATGAATAAAAAATAACGCATATAGAGCATCTAGCACAGAGCTCTATAAGGACAGCTTACTTGGTAAACAATGACAATTTCTGAACCAAGCTAGACTAGGTTCTCCAGTAAAAATATTATTGCAGGGTCATTGATCCATACCATGTTCATTTTTACTCTAATGTGAGTAAACAGAAATTGAAAGCAAAGCTTATCACTTTAATAATAAATGTCAGGGCCAGGCATGGTGGCTCACACCTGTAATTCCAGTACTTTGGGAGACTGAGGCAATCACTTGACCCCAGGAGTTTAAGACCCACCTGGACAACACGATGAAACCCCATTTCTACAAAAAATACAAAAACTATCTGTGCTTGGTGGTGTGTCCCTGCAGTCCCAGCTACTCAGAAGGCTGAGGTGGGAAGATCACTTGAGCCTGGAAGGCAGAGGTTGCAGTGAGCTGAGACTGTGGCACTGCACTCCCGTCTGAGACACAGAGTGAGACTCAATCTCTGAAAAAAACAAAACAAAACAAAAGGGCCGGGTGTGACTTGGGAGGCTGTGGTGGGTAGATCACAACATCAAGAGATCAAGACTATCCTGACCAACGTGGTGAAACCCTGTCTCTGCTAAAAATACAAAAGTATTAGCTGGGCATGGTGGCATGTGCCTGTATTCCCAGCTACTTAGGAGACTGAGGTAGGAGAATCATTTGAACCTGGGAGGTGGAGGTTGCAGTGAGCTGAGATCATGCCACTGCACTCCAGCCTAGCTGACAGAGTGAGACTTCACGCCAAAAAAAAAAAAAAAGTGTCAGGAGCTTTGCCTTAAATTAAGGTCTTTAATCTCATTAATCAATGATTCTTAATAGTGGCTGCACATCAGAATCACCTGGGAACTGTTTCAAGTTCAGTTTAAGGAATACCTGGGCCGGCATGGTGGCTCATTCCTATAATCCCAGCACTTTAGGAGGCCAAAGTGAGTGGATTACTTGAGATCAGTAGTTTGAGACCAGCTTGTCCAACATGGTGAAACCCTGTCTCTACTAAAAATACAAAAATTAGCTGGGCGTGATGTCAGGCACCTGCAATCCCAGCTACCTGGGATGCTGAGGCAAGAGAATCTCTTGAATCCGGGAAGTGGAGGTTGCAATGAGCTGAGATCACGATACTGCACTCCATCACGGGCAACACAGTGAGATTCTGTCTTTATTTAAAAAAAAAAAAAAAAAAAAAAAAAGGTATAATCTACGTACAATAAAATTTACCTAGGGTGCTTTTTTTTTTTTTGAGATGGAGTCTTGCTCTGTTGCCAGGCTGGAGTGCAGTGGAGTGATCTCAGCTCACTGCAACCTCTGCTTCCCAGGTTCAAGTGACCCTCCTGCCTCAGCCTCCCAAGTAGCAGGGACTAGAGACGTGCACCACCACACTCAACTGTATTTTTAGTAGCGATGGGGTTTCACCATGTTGGCCAGGATGGTCTCCATCTCTTAACTTCGTGATCTACCCACGCCTGGCCCCTAGGGTACTTTTTAATGCTTGACTTCAAACCAATTAAATCAGAACTTGATGAAAGTTAATGAGGGTAGAGATATCCCAATTACCCCAATTTGATCATTACATATTGCACACATACAGGTTTTAGGTTTATTTTTCTTTTCTTTTTTTTTTTTTTTGAGATAGGGTCTCATTCTGTCACCCAGGCTGGAATGCAGTGGCAAGTTCTTGATTCACTGCAACCTCTGCCTCTCAGGTTCAAGTGATTCTCCTGCCTCAGCCTCCTAAGTGACTGGGACTACAGGTGCACCACCATGCCTGGCTAATTTTTGTAACAGACAGGGTTTCACTGTGTTGGCCAGGCTGGTCTTGAACTCCTGGCCTCAAGCCATCCGCCCGTCTCAGCCTCCCAAAGTGCTGGGATTATAGGCATGAGCCACTACTCAGCCCACAAACAGGTATTAAAATATCACATGTATCCCCAAAATATGTACAACTATTATAATTCAATTTTTAAAAAAACAATCAGAACTGAGCATAAGGCAAGGGTTGAGCACCTGTCAAGGTTTCCCAGGTGGTTCTAATGTGCGGCCAGGATTGAGAACCCTTAACAAGCCACACTGAAGCATAGTCAGTTATTCACTTAACCTCCAAGTTCCATATGGACAAAATAATTTGAGAATAAAACTAAGCTTTGAAGCCGGGCGCGGTGGCTCACACCTGTAATCCCAGCACTTTGGGAGGCCGAGGCGAGTGGATCATGAGCTCAAGAGATCGAGACCATCCTGGTCAACATGGTGAAACCCCATCTCTACTAAAAAATACAAAAAATCGGCCGGGCGCGGTGGCTCAAGCCTGTAATCCCAGCACTTTGGGAGGCCGAGGCACGTGGATCACGAGGTCAAGAGATCGAGACCATCCGGTTAACATAGTGAAACCCCATCTCTACTAAAAATACAAAAAATTAGCTGGGCATGGTGGCGTGTGCCTGTAATCCCAGCTACTCAGGAGGCTGAGGCAGGAGAATTGCCTGAACCCAGGAGGCGGAGATTGCGGAGAGCGGAGATCACGCCATTGCACTCCAGCCTGGGTAATAGGAGCGAAACTCTGTCTGAAAAAAAAAAAAAAAAAAGAAAAAAAAATACAAAAAATCAGCTGGGCATGGTGGTGCATGCCTGTAATCCCAGCTACTCAGGAGGCTGAGGCAGGAGAATTGCCTGAACCCAGGAGGTGGAGGTTGCGGTGAGCTGAGATCGTGCCATTGCTCTCCAGCCTGGGTAACAAGAGCGAAACTCCATCTCAAAAAAAAAAAAAAAAAAAAACCTAAGCTTTGATTAGCTCTCTTAGAAACATGAATGTGAATGTGCTTTTTTTTTTTTTTTTTTTTTTAACTTAAGCTGCAGTCTGAAGTATTTCTGTAGCAGTTTTACATTGGCACATATAGTCATATATCAAGGTTATGTACATGAATTATCTTCAATCCAATGGATCTTCAGAAATCAGCATAGCTAGCTATTATACTCTTTTGTATGTTCTTCAGAACTATTATCATTATATTAATAATTGAGTCACTTGTCATCCAGAGTAGTTTGGGTAGGTTGTCTGCTTTGAAAATGTTGTACATCTAGCACCTCACAGTGTTTTGCATATGGATGGTGTTATTTTGCTGAATAAAGTTCTTATGATTGTAGGAGCTGCACTCGCCTGTGCAAAACAAATAACAGCTTCAGAACTCTACATTTTTCATCTATAGGTTGGGATGGCTACCCCATGTGGATTTAGTCCGCCTGGCACAAAACATATTCATTAAGCCCTGTTCTACCAAGCACTTAAATGCATTTTGTTTTCCAAAATGAGGATTTTTTGAGACAGGGTCTCACTCTGCCACCCAGGATGGAGTGCAATGGTACAATCACAGCTCACTGCAGCTTTGACCTCTTGGGCTCAAGCGATTCTCCAGCCTCAGCCTCTGGAGTAGCTGAGACCACAGCCATGTGCCACCATATTTGTTTTTTTTTGAGACAGAGGCTCACTCTGCTGCCCAGGCAGTGGGGCGATCTCAGCTCACTGCAACCTTTGTCTCCCGGGTCCAAGTAATTCCCTGCCTTAGCCTCCTGAGTAGCTGGGATTACACAAGCCCGCCATCACGCCTGGCTAATTTTTGTATTTTTAGTAGAGACGGGGTTTGGCCAGGGTGATCTTGAACTGCTGACCTTGTGATTCACCCACCTGGGCCTCCCAAGGTGCTGGGATTACAGGTGTGAGTCACCACCCTCGGCCACCTGGCTAATTAAAAAAAATATTTTGTAGATACAGGGGCTGGCTATGCCGTCCAAATTGGTCTCAAACTCTTGGCTTCAAGAAATCCTCCCAACTCTCCCAAACTGCTGGGATTACAGGCATGGGGCACCACAGCAGTCTAAAATGTGTCCTCAATCACAACATCAGTGACTCTAGAATTAAATTAGTACCACTTACCTCTGCTTTCTCTGAGAGGTAGTCAAGCTATCCTCTTTTCTTTTTCCCTTGCTAATTTCCTGGGTTTTCTTCATATTTTTCTGGCGGGCAAGTTCTCGTTGATTTCCACCTACAAAGTCAAACAATCATGATCTTTTCCCATCTACAAAATTATTAATGATTCCATAAGACAGGTCTTTTTAAAATGCATCTTTATTTTGTGTTTTAATGGATAAACCAGCAGAGTAACAAACTGATGGTGTTCCCAGATCTGACAATAAGAAGGTGGCTTAAAGGTGAACACTTAAGCCGGGCGCGGTGGCTCAAGCCTGTAATCCCAGCACTTTGGGAGGCCAAGGCGGGTGGATCACGAGGTCGAGAGATCGAGACCATCCTGGTCAACATGGTGAAACCCCATCTCTACTAAAAATACAAAAAATCAGCTGGGCATGGTGGCTCGTGCCTGTAATCCCAGCTACTCAGGAGGCTGAGGCAGGAGAATTGCCTGAACCCAGGAGGCGGAGGTTGCGGTGAGCCGAGATTGCGCCATTGCACTCCAGCCTGGGTTACAAGAGCGAAACTCTGTCTCAAAAAAAAAAAAAAAAAAAAAAAAAAAAAAAGGTGAACACTTAAAGACTATTATCATACCAATCTAGTGGTCACTAGCTACAAACACCAGATATTTTAAAACAGACATTCGAATCTTCTGGGCCAGTATCCCAAAACAAGTTCTGGCTTTATGAGGCGTGTGGGTGGAAGGAGAAAGCCAGATACAGAGATCACAAGTTCAGCCCATTACTTGAGAGTTAACCCTTATCCCCATTCAGAGTAGGAGAGAGGTGGTTGGGTACTGAACAGATTAGGGTACCTGCGAAAGGCAGTGTGGGTCCTTTACATCCTTATTCTAGCCACAACCCTGCAAGGTAGGCTTCATTGTTCTCATTTTACACAACAGACTAACCTAACACGTAGGACTGGTAAAAACGCGCAAATTTAGGACCGGCTCTAAAGCCTCCTGTTTATTCGACTATTACCTGCGAGGGCCAAACAAAAGAACTAGGGAGGCGACTCACCGGAGTCCCGGTCCTCATGAGGCCTTAGGCTACCACCCTCCCCAAACAAGGACCCTCCCGGGGCGGCCGTGTCCACATCTTCGGGGTGTGTTCTTTACGGCACAAACTCGCCCCCGAGGGGCAGGCACGCGCCCGGCCTGAGAAGGCTGACCCGAGCCAGCCGCGAGCGAGCTCTCCGCCGACGGAAGCCGGGATCCCCGCCCTGCGGGACCCCAGGGGATTCTCCGGTCGGACCCCGCCTCCCCCGCCGGCCGCGCCCGAGCGCTAAGCTACCTAGCCCGCCGCTTCCCATCCGCGTCCGCACACTCACGTGCCATGCCGACCACTGACGGAGCCTGGAAGACAGCGACTCGGAAAACCAACCGCTCCCCGGCAGGCTGGGCTACCGTCACCACTGCCGACCGGGAAAGCTGAGCCCGCGTGGGCCCTCCGCCCGGCGGCGCCTCCGCTCCGCTCAGCCAGCGGCCCCGCCCACGGAGGCGCGGCAGCAGCTGCCCGCCCGGCCGGAGCGTCACTGCGCGTGCGCGGCAGGGGCGGGGCGGCAGCGCGAACTCCGACAGTCCCGGAGACTTAGCAGCGCCCGGCACCCTCCTGTAACCCACGCTCCGGAGACCCGGGAAAGCGAGTTCTCTTTGACGGAAGGATAGGCGTGGATGGATTTTCCCCACCGTGCGCCGGGCACAGGGGCTCAACCAGCTCCAACCCTTTTTCTTTTTAATAGGAAATGACAACAAACGCTACAATATCTTACTTTTTGGTAAAGAAAGTTAGCTTTCAGGCCGGGCGCGGTGGTTCAAGCCTGTAATCCCAGCACTTTGGGAGGCCGAGGCGGGTGGATCACGAGGTCGAGAGATCGAGACCATCCTGGTCAACATGGTGAAACCCCGTCTCTACTAAAAATACAAAAAATTAGCTGGGCATCATGGCACGTACCTGTAATCCCAGCTACTCAGGAGGCTGAGGCAGGAGAATTGCCTGAACCCAGGAGGCGGAGGTTGCGGGGAGCCGAGATCGTGCCATTGCACTCCAGCCTGGGTAACACGAGTGAAACTCGTTCTCCAAAAAAAAGAAAGAAAGAAAGAAAGAAAGTTAGCTTTCATTCATCTCCTTCCGGAGGCGGAGAAGCCTGGGTGGGGACTGAAAAGATTGAGGATAACTCTGCGAAAGGCAGTGTTGGCCCTGTATTTTCCTTCCTTATTCTAACCACAACCCTGCAAGGTAGGCTGCATTGTTTTCATTTTGCAGAAGAGACACTGACAACGCGTAGGAATTGATGAGAATAAAATTTAAGACGGACTCTAAAGCCCGTTTATTTTCCAGTTTATCTCTGTGCTCTTGTCACGATCCACAGTGCTTTAGGAGTTTTAGGTTACTGACTGCTTGGGTTGTGTGGTGGGAAAATGTCCGGGAATGCAGTCTTACCACGATTCAGAATAGCCCAGAATAACCTCGGAACCTACGTAAAAGCTGTGGACCATCTGCCATTGCGGAAAAACACTTAAATAGAGATGCTTCTATGGCTCATCTGGCATATACTTTCTTCTCCTCTTCCATTGTTACACACACACAGACACACACATAGACACAAAAAGATAACATTGTTACAAACATGATTTGGATACTCCAAATTGCCCTATATTTTAAAAACTTTTATTTGGGAAGATCTGAAATTTATGCAGTATAAAAGCATTAGTAACAAGGATAGCGAATCCTCAAGGAGATACTACCAAACTTCAATTATTACCTCATAAAATCCTCTATTTCAGAGAAGGTGGAGAAAGTGAAGACTGAGAGGCTCTGGAGACGAACTGTCTGGGTAGAAAGCCCAGCTCCACCAATTAGTAGCTGTGTCAACTTGGACACTATTTCGTTATGTTAAAGCGTTCTTACCTGTACCTCCTTCATTAACTGCATTATTTATTATATGTGAAGTACTAGGTCCCCAGCGTACGGTAACAATACATTAGCTCTTACTGTTCTTTCAAATTCGGAGAGCCTTGCACACATCACTATCCTACCCCTGCACCCCACCTGTCTTCCTTAATACTGCTAACATCTGTTTCCACTTAGTGAACTTCTTCTTGAACCTGAGTAAAGGGAAAAGATTTGACTTTCTGACACCGTGTTTTGTTTTGTTTTTGGAGACAGGGTCTCACTCTTGCCCAGGCTGGAGTGCACTGGTGCAATCTCCGCTCGTTGCAGACTTGGCCTCCCGGCTTCAGGGATTCTCGTTTCCTCAGCCTCCCGGAGTAGCTGGGGTTACAGCCATGTGCTACGCTGCCCCGGATAATGTTTGCATTTTTAGTAGAGACGATTTTTTGCCGTGTTGGCCAGGCTGATCTCAAACTCCTGGCCTCATGTGATTGGCCTGCCTCGGACTCCCAAAATGCTGGGATTACAAGCATGAGCCACTGAGCCCAGTCTCTGGCACAGTTCTTAATAGAGAGAAGATTATCTAAAGAAGGAATGGAGTGGGATTGGAAGGTAAGGGGTAGAGTTGTTTTTGTATGTGCTCTCAATTTAATCTAATTGAGCATTTTTCTTTGCAGCTAGAATTTTTTGCAGTTTTTAAGTTGTAGGGGTACACATGATATACTCCATTTACACGAGATGTGTTAGGTGTGTCTCTCAGAGAAAAGTGGAGACTTTAAAAATTACTATGATGCCACTAAGAATTTACTCCACAAACTTGTGTAACAAATGTCTTATGTCTTTATATTTAATAAAGTTTAATCTGATTCTGTTCCCTTCCCTTTACTAGTGGGAAATTAAATCTTTTTTTTTTTTTTTTTTTTTTTTTTTTTGAGACAGAGTTTTGCTCTTGTCACCCAGGCTGGAGTGCAATGGCGCGATCTCGGCTCACCGCAACCTCTGCCTCCTGGGTTCAGGCAATTCTCCTGCCTCAGCCTCCTGAGTAGCTGGGATTACAGGCACATGCCACCATGCCCAGCTAATTTTTATATTTTTAGTAGAGACGGGGTTTCACCATGTTGACCAGGTTGGTCTCGATCTCTCGACCTTGTGATCCACCCGCCTCAGCCTCCCAAAATGCTGGGATTACAGGCTTGAGCCACCGCGCCCGGCCGGGAAATTATATCTTAAGTCACTACTTTCTCATCTGTAAAAGCTTGGGAAAAGGCCCTAGTCTTTTAGGTAGAACAGAAGACCATCTGTGGAAAGGCCCTGTGTCTTCAGTTTGTTTTGGAATATGCTGTTCAAATCTGTGTAGTCCTGGCAGTGGCCCCAAGATTCCTGACACATCTTTAGCAGGGGATTCTCTAATTCTTGAGCTTCTTTAGGTAAAACTGAGATCCTGTTCCTTTTCCAGAATATTGCAGGGAGCCCACAGAACTCACAGACCTTTTCTTTCTTCCTTCCTTTTTTTTTTAGATGGAGTTTCGTTCTTGTTGCCCAGGCTAGAGTACAATGGTGTGATCTCAGCTCACTGCAACCTCTGCCTCCTGGGTTCAAGCAATTCTCCTGCCTCAGCCTCCCAAGTAGCTGGGATTACAGGCATGTGCTAACATGCCCAGCTAATTTTGTATCTTTAGTAGAGACAGGTTTCTCCACGTTGGTCAGGCTGGTCTTGAACTCCTGACCTCAGGTGATCTGCCCGCCTTGGCTTCTGAAAGTGTTGGGATTACAGGTGTGAGCCACCATACCCAGCCTTTTTTTTTTTTTTTTTTTTTTTGAGACAGGGCCTCATTTTGTCACCTGGGCTGGAGTGTGGTGTGCGATCTCGGCTTACTGCAACTTCGGTCTCTGAGTTCAAGCAATTCTCCAAACTCAGCCTCCTGAGTAGCTGGGACTACAGGCGCAAGCTGCCATGCTTGGCTAATTTTTGTATTTTTGGTAGAGATAGGGTTTCACCATGTTGGCTAGGCTGGTCTCAAACTCTTGGGTTCAAGTGATTTACCTGCCTTGGCCTACCAAAATGCTGGGATTACAGACATGAGCTATGCCTGACCTCCAGACTTTCATTTTCTTCATAGTCTTTTCTTTTTTTTTTTCTTTTTTTTTTTTTTGAGACGGAGTTTCGCTCTTGTTGCCCAGGCTGGAGTGCAATGGCGCGATCTTGGCTCACCGCAACCTCCGCCTCCTGGGTTCAGGCAATTCTCCTGCCTCAGCCTCCCGAGTAGCTGGGATTACAGGCACATGCCACCATGCCCAGCTAATTTTCAGTATTTTTAGTAGAGACGGGGTTTCACCATGTTGACCAGGATGGTCTCAATCTCTCGACCTCGTGATCCACCCGCCTCGGCCTCCCAAAGTGCTGGGATTACAGGCTTGAGCCACCGCGCCCGACCAGTCTTTTCTTTTTCTTTTTCTTTTCTTTTGAGACAGAGTCTCGCTCTTGTCTCCCAGGCTGGAGTGCAATGGCGCCATCTCTGTTCACTGCAACCTCTGCCTCCTGGGTTCAAGCAATTCTCCTGCCTCAGCCTCCTGAGTAGCTGGGACTACAGGCGTGCGCCACTATGCCCGGCTAATTTTTTGAATTTTTAGTAGAGATGGGGTTTTACCATGTTGGCCAGGATGGTCTTGATCTCCTGATCTCGTGATCTGCCCACCTCAGCTTCTCAAATTGCTGGGATTACAGGCATGAGCAACCGTGCCAGGTCTGATACATTTTTAAAATATCTTGTTCATTTTTTTTTTTGTATTTTTTCCTCTCAAATCCAGAACGCCTTGTTTAGCTACCTCTTGAAGCAGATTAAGAACACTCAAAATAGGCCAGGCATGGTGGCTCACACCTGTAATCCAAGCACTTTGGAGGCCAAGGCGAGCAGATCGCCTGAGGTCGGGAGTTCAAGACCAGCCTGACCAACATGGTGAAACCCTGTGTATTAAAAAAAAAAAAAAAAAGAACACTCAAAATAGTGGCCGGGCAAGGTGACTCATGCCTATAATCCCAGCACTTTGGGAGGCCAAGGCAGGCGGATCACGAAGTCAGAAGATTGAGACCATCCTGGCTACCATGGTGAAACCTGTCTCTACTAAAAATAAAAAAATTAGCCGGGTGTGGTGACATGCGCCCGTAGTCCCAGGTACTCGGGAGGCTGAGGCAGGAGAATCGCTTGAACCCGGGAGGTGGAGGTTGCAGTGAGCAGAGATCGCACCACTGCACTCCAGCCTGGGTGACAGAGCAAGACACCAACTCAAAAAAAAAAAAAAAAAAAAAGAATACTCAAAATAATTTACAAAGTTTCAACTATAATTTTTAAACAGGCTGGCTGTGCAGTAGCACAATCTCAGGTGATACATTCATGTTAAAAAGTACACAAGGAGGCCAAGCGTGGTGGCTTACGCCTGTAGTCCCAGCACTTTGGGAGGCCAAACCGGGTGGAGCGCTTGAGCCCAGGAGTTCAAGACTAGCGTCGGCAACATGATGAACCCTGTCTCTACTAAACGCTAAAAAAAAAAAAAAAAAAAAAAAAAAAAAAAAAAAAAAAAAAATTAAGAGGGTGTGGTGGTGCGTGCCTGTAGGCCCAGGTACTTGGGAGGCTGAGACGGAAGGATCGCTTGAGCCCTGTAGGTGGAGGCTGTAGTCAGCCAAGATAGCCCTACTGCACCACTCCAGCCTAGGCGACGGAGTGAGACCGTCTCAAAATAAAAAAACAAAAAAGTACACAAGGGCGTACGGTACATGATCTTTCTACCACGACGTGTTTCCCAGAAACTCAATTCCTCTCCTAGGAAGTAACCATTATCTGTTTCTTCACACCAGCATTTCTTTTTTTTTTTTTTTTTTGAGACGGAGTTTCGCTCTTCTTACCCAGGCTGGAGTGCAATGGCGCGATCTCGGCTCACTGTAACCTCCGCCTCCTGGGTTCAGGCAATTCTCCTGTCTCAGCCTCCTGAGTAGCTGGGATTACAGGCACGTGCCACCATGCCCAGCTAATTTTTTGTATTTTTAGTAGAGACGGGGTTTCACCATGTTGACCAGGATGGTCTCGATCTCTCGACCTCGTGATCCACCCGCCTCGGCCTCCCAAAGTGCTGGGATTACAGGCTTGAGCCACCGCGCCCGGCCACACCAGCATTTCTAATATCTACTCAATTTAGAATTTCTAAGCCCTTCAGGACCTCAATCGGCCAGCGATTTTAATAGTTCCAGTAAAGGTCTGAGCTGAAAAGTCGACTTTCTTCTTTTCCTCTTTTCAACTACTCCTAAGGAGTCCTCGAGAGGAAAGAGCACACATCTCTGCATCTCAATTTCTGATCCGCAGGTAACCCAGTCTCGGTAGCTTGGTAGTTACCATGGCTCCCAGTGCTGTGCGTCTGACGTCATTCCGCGGCGCTGACTGATGGCGCGATCAGTTCCGGCGCCCTGTGAGGGCGGGGGAGCTGGGAGGAGAGGGGAATTTGGCCGTCGGTGTGTGGCAGGGTCATGAAAAAGCGGCGGCGGTGGGAGAGAGGAGGAGGTGGCGGCGGGGGAGTGAAACTGCGGTAGCTGCCCGCTGGGCTGGTGGTGGGGCTTTGTGGGGAGGGCGTAGTTCCTAACCCCCTTTCCGGGCAGCCGCCGGGGCTCGGGGTTGTGAGTGGCCGTCAGGCTGCCTCCCCGGGCCCCCTGGCTCCGCCATGTTCCGCAGGGCACGCCTTAGCGTGAAGCCGAATGTCAGGCCTGGTGTGGGCGCCAGGGGCTCCGCCGCTCCCAATGCCCAGCGTGGCCGGGAGTCTCCCAGGCCGCCGGAGCCTGCCACGGACTCCTCTTCTAAGCCAGCGGAGCCCAAAGATGCGTCCGCCGTCCATTTCGATGCAGCGGAACCCCAAGAAAAGGCTCCTAGGATCAGGTAAGAGCTTGCAGAGGGAAGAACTTTCATTTACCCTGCCTCTCCGGGTCTGTCATCTGGAAGCTGAGCAATGAATCAGGAGTCCGCTCTCGATTGCAGTTTGAAACCATTCCAAACTGCAATTTGTTGTCTGACCTGCAGAGTGTGGCTTGTGTGGATTTTGTCAGGGTCTGTAGATTGTCCGAGAGGAGAAATCATGTCTTCTAGTGGTGGAGGGGACAATCGGGATATGGCAGTCCTGAAGTGAAGAATAGCCACACTATTCATTTGAGAATTTAGTTACCATAGTTTTCATCCTTCTGAGTGCTTTGCAGGGAAGTGTTTTTGTTTTTAAGTTTATAAAATATTTATTTTTAAAAGAAGATAAGTATTGTTTTGGCTCTGCTGACTTAGGCCAGTAAGAGTTCCAGTTACTTGATTGAAGTGTGCCCCTTTAACTCTGGTGACCATGTTTCCCGAATAGAGAAGCATGGCTTTAGCGTCATGTATTATATTTGGATTCAGGACTCTTTTAGTCTAAAGGTAGACTTTTCTCGGGCAGCATTTACTCATCTGCAAAATGGGAATAATATTGCCTACTTGAAGCATTTTGGTGGAGATTAGAGATAACTCATATAAAGTATCTTACAGGGGATAAGGCAGAATAGTTGCCCACAAAAGATTATTACCTTTTTAAAAAGGTGATGGAGTAAATTTAAAACATGTTAGGCTAAGATGGCGTCTGTTTCTATATGTGAAGAAATCAGTAAACAACCTTAAGTGACAGTGAGATGGTACAAATTCTGTTTATGCTGCGGTAGGAAGGTGAAATTTTTTTTTTATTTTTGACACATCTTCCTCTATTGGCCTGTACTGGTGCTGAATGTAGGGTGTAATGTTGATACCTCAGTGATGTTTAGTAATTTCCAAGTTTCTTGCATGAATCTGTTTTAAAATTTCTACACCAGAATGGAGACACCAATACTAGTTGCTGTTAAATTAATAAAGTTCTAAGAGATTTCGTTAATTATGTATGAGTGCATGATGGTTGATAATTTAATAAATTGCTTAAATATTATCGTTTAGAGACATTTGTGGTCAAGTATATTTAATTTTTTTTAAGAGTTGACATTTACATTTGGGGAATATAATTTATTTTTTAGCCGTGTTTTTTTTTTTTTTAGCCGTTACTGACTGTGAAAGTGTTTTCTTTTTTTTTTTCCCATTAAAAATTTTTTTTTTTCCTTCAAGATGGAGTCTCACTCTGTCGCCCAGGCTTGAGTGCAGTGGTGCAATCTTGGCTTACTGCAGCCTCCACCTCCCGGGTTCATGCAGTTCTCCTGCCTCAGCTTCCCAGTATCTGGGACTACAGGCATGTCCCATCATGCTGAGCTAATTTTTGTATTTTCAGTAGAGATGGGTTTCATCATGTTGGCCAGGCTGAACTCAGACTCCTGACCTCAAGTGATCTACCTGCCTCATCCCAGAGTGCTGGCATTACAGGCATGAGCCACTGTGCTCGGCCTTTTAAAATTTCTTTGTGGGTTTTTACTAGTTGTAAAAATCTGTAGATATATATTGTCATTATGCATTCAACATAATTGGGTGAAATGCAGATAATGCATGTATCACATTGTCATAACAGCTAAGATACAAATTTAAATATAAGTCTTCCTGCAAAGGTTATTCTGTAAGTTAAGGCATTTTCTAATTTTTTGTAAATAACTGTAAAATGTGAAAAAAGCAGATTATTTTTAATTAGTAACTTATACCATCTCTTTTTTTGACTTAGTCACATTTACAGATCATTCCTGAAATATTTATATCTGAGGTGTACCATACCTAATATAAAATTTGGGGTGACTGAGTACTTTTTTTGACTGAAGAGTTTCTTTTGATGGCTGTATAAGTAGAGTTGTACCTGACGAAAGATAAATGATTTCTGCCTCAAAGGGAATTTGATTTGGCTAATGTAACTAAATGTTTTTCTTCAAATACTGCAATACAGGTATTTCAGAAGTTTGAAGTTTTGCATATTTGATTTGACTGACCTCAGGTTAATAAGTAAAGTAAAATGCCATTAGTTTAGACCAGTGTAAGATGTCAGAGTGAATTATAAATTTTTAATTTTATATATAAATTATTACTCTAAAAACTCTGTTACTTAGTAATACAAATTAGGCTGATTAAGGTTTGTTCTGTAAATTGGTTACTTTTTGTTTTGAGGGAGCTAAGCCTGCAATTATGTGCTCTAATGTGCTTAGGGGCTTTTATGTTTGAAAAAGATTAAGAGTCTGTTAGAATTTGCATATATTTAAAAGATTTACTAAACAAAAATTTTTTTTTGTAACCTGTCATAATTAACATAAATCTCAAGTTACTGGTTGTTTTTAAAAATTATGAGATTACAGTTTTGGATTTTTACCAGACTACATTTTAAAACTAGCATGTATAACGGCAGATTCATGGTGCCCTCTTTTTTCTTTTTAATTTCAACAGTACTGAAAAGACTGCTAGTGACAATGATGTTAAAGAATCCAGTAAATCTTCCTCCAATGTTTCACAGAGAAGAAAGCGAATATCAAGTACTCCTCTGGTTAAGTCTAGCGTCAGTGTTTCTTCAGAATCCCATCCCTTATCTACTGTTAATCAAGCAGCTCCACAGCAAGTTGCCACTCCAACAAAAGAGAAACAGCCATGCTCAGACAGATACCGAATATACAAAGCCCAGAAACTGAGGGAAATGTTAAAAGAAGAATTGAGAAAAGAGAAGGTAAGGGAGGAGAATCAGGATTTTGATGTTGGCTGCTGGATTTCTGTTTATGTTCGTAAGGAATCATTTGCCGGGTGCGGTGGCTCACGCCTGTAATCCCAGCACTTTGGGAGGCTGAGGTAGGTGGATCAGCTGAGGTCAGGAGTTCGAAACCAGCCTGACCAATACGGTGAAACCCCATCTTTAAAAAACAAAACAAAACAAAACAAAATTAAAAATTAGAAGAAAAAAAAGGAATCATTTGAAAGAAAAACACTGTAGCATTTTGAAGGGGTAACAAAACCACATAACATGCCTTAGTCAGTACAAAATCCCCTCTTGTTAATGGATGACCGATGCACCATGCACTTAAACTACATTTTCACCGAGTGTAATTTTTACATATTTTATTTATTTATGTTTGCACTGTTTTTGGTAGAGGCCACCGATAAGTTTTATGTACATACACACAGATATACATACACAAACATATGTATAAAATAAGCCTTCAACCAGACTTTTCGTAGAAAGATGTCCAAGTGACAAGTGATGTATTTATTTGAATTAAGACAAGTATAGGCTGGGCATGTTGGCTCATGCCTGTAATCCCAGCACTTTGGGAGGCCGAGGCAGGCAGATCACTTGAGGTAAGGAGTTCAAGACCAGCCTGGCCAACATGGCAAAACCCAGTCTCTACTAAAAATACAAAAATTAGCTGGGCCTGGTGGTGCACACCTGTAATCCTAACTACTGGGGAGTCTGAGGCATGAGAATTGCTTGAACCTGGGAGGCAGAGGTTGCAGTGAGTCGAGATTGTACCTCTGCACTCCAGCCTGGGTAACGGAGTGAAACTGTCTCTGGGGGAAAAAAAAAAAGACAAATACAGTTGAGCAAAATTAATTAATAATGTTTTCTAAATTGACAATATGGAAAATTACAAGTGGGAAAAATTTGTGATATGCATATAGTAGAGTCCATGTTCTTTTCAGTCTTGAGGATTGATTTTTTTTCTAGAAGGGCACGTAACAGTAGTGGAGCATGCCAGCCCTGGAGTTAAATACTTAAAGATTGAATCTCAGCTTCATTTTTTTTTTTTTTTTTTTTTTTTGTGCTCACTACACATTTTTTATTATGGTCATTGAGAGGCTCCAAAGCATCAGTCCAATAAACATTTTTCCAGCCCGATAAGCATCCTTCTTAAGAACTAAGAGGTAAAATTATTCACACAACTATTTTTTTCCTTTATTTTATTATTATTATTTTTTTTTGAGACAGAGTTTTACTCTGTCACCCAGGCTGGAGTGCAGTGGTGCGATCTCAGCCCACTGCAACCTTTGCCTCCTGGGTTCAAGTGATTCTCCCTGCCTCAGCCTCCTGAGGATTATAGGCACCGACCACCATGCCCGGCTAATTTTTGTGTTTTTAGTAGAGACAGCATTTTGCCATATTGGCCAGGCTGGTCTCGAACTCCTGACCTCTTCCACCTGCTTCAGTCTCCCAAAGTGCTGGGATTACAGGCGTGAGTCACCCTGCCTGCTGTAGCTTCATTTCTTTACTAGCTATGTGACCTTGGGTAATTTAATTTTAAAAAGGTTCTATGTTTTATAGAAAATGCTTGTTTAATTTATTTTGGGGGATTAAAGATTAAACATTTGCTTCAAGAATTTTATAAAATAGGGAATTTCAATTCACTACAGGGTTGAAAAAGAAAGCTGTGTAAGCACAAATTCTCAGTGAGCTGTTACGATGTTTAGTTAGAAGGCATCAGTAAGCATTTTATACATTGAGCTTTATTAGTTTTTTTCTTTTATTATTTATGTATTTGGTTTTCAGACAAGGTCTCACTATGTTGCCCAGGCTGGTAATTCCTGAGCTCAAGTGATCTTCCTGCTTTGGCCTTCCTAAGTGCTGGAATTATAGGCATGAGCCACCATGCCTGGTCACACTGAGCTTTTGTCTAGTCTTAGTCACTTTAATTGTTAAAAAGTAAATACTTGCTGGGTGCGTGGTCACTCCTGTAATTGCAGTGCTTAAGGAGGCTGAGGTAGGAGAATCACTTGAGACCAGGAATTTGAGACCAGACTGGGCAACATAGAGAGACTCCATCTCTGCCTAAAAACAAAAAAACTAACACCCCCCCCACCGCCCCCGCACCGCCCCACATTTCCTGAGCAGGATGTCTCTTAAAAAAAAAAGAAAAAAAAACCCTACAAAATTAGCCAGGTGTTGTGGCAAGAATCTGTAGTTACTTGGGAGGCTGAGGTGGGAGGACCGCTTGAGCTCAGGAGTTCCAGGCTGCAGTGTGGACAACAGAGGAAGACTCCTTCTCAAAAATAGATATATAAAACCTCAAAACTATTTTTTTTTTTTTTTTTTTGAGACGGAGTTTCACTCTTGTTACCCAGGCTGGAGTGCAATGGCGTGATCTCGGCTCACCGCAACCTGCGCCTCCTGGGTTCAGGCAATTCTCCTGCCTCAGCCTCCTGAGTAGCTGGGATTACAGGCACGCGCCACCATGCCCAGCTAATTTTTGGTATTTTTAGTAGAGACGAAGTTTCACCATGTTGACCAGGATGGTCTCGATCTCTCGACCTCGTGATCCACCCGCCTCAGCTTCCCAAAGTGCTGGGATTACAGGCTTGAGCCACCGCGCCCGGCCAAAACCTCAAAACTATTAAGGGTAATGTGCTACAATTTTTTAATAGCCCATCTGCAAAATTACATAATTGGGGTAAGAATAATATTAAAGCACTTACAGTGAATGCAACAGTGGACTGTATATTTGCATATAGTACATCTGAAATTCTTTAGTATTTATAAAAGTGGATCTGTCTGTTTTTATGTATACAGAAACAATGGAAAAACAAATATGCTGTAAATGAAAGTCAGAGGCCACCAGATCGTTCAAAAATGACTATGAGAGACTTCATATATTATCTACCAGATAATAATCCAATGACGTAAGTAAAATTTATTTCTGCTTTACTATCTCCTTTTTTTGTTTGGAGATGGAGTCTCGCTCTGTCACCCAGACTGTACTCCATTACAGTGGCACAGTCTCGGGTCACTACAACCTCTGCCTCCTAGGTTCAAGCGATTCTCCTGCCTCAGCTTCCCAAGTAGCTGGGATTACAGGTGCCATCCACCATGCCTGGCTAATTTTTGTATTTTCAGTAGAGACGGGGGTTTTACCGTGTTGGCTAGTCTTGTTTCAACTCCTGACCTTGGGTGATCCACCCACTTTGGCCTTCCAAAGTGCTGAGATTACAGGTGTGAGCCATTGTGCCTGGTCTTTTGTTTTACTTTCTTTGGGTATATAGTGATATAAATACTGTTTTTAGAGTACAGTTTTTTGTTTTCCAAAAGCATGTTGACAAAATTTAGAACATATATGATGTCCTTTTAAATAGAATTTCATAACAAAATTAACAGGATTTCAAGTAACTACTTCCTAGGAATGGTAAATTATGCCCTTTATTTCTGGTATTAAAAATAAATTTCCTGGCTGGGCATAGTGGCTCATACATAATCCTAGCACTTTAGGAGACCAAGGCAGGTGGGTTGCGTGAGTCCAGGAGTTTGAGACTAGCTGGGGCAACATGGTGAATCTCTGTCTCTACAAAAAATACAAAAATTGGCCAGGCATGATGTCATGTGACTGTAGTTCCAGCTGTTTGGGAGACTTAGGCAGGAAGACTTCCTGAGTCCTGGCCGTTGAGGCTGCAGTAAACCATGTTCATGTCACTGTACTCTAGTCTGGGTGACAGTGAGATCTTGTCTCAAAAAAAAAAGCTTCCTTTCTTATGTTTCATTACATTAATTACTAAGGTGTAGTAAAACCAACTAAGCAACTTTTTTGTAATCAAGATTGCAATTTTGGCCAGACCAACTGACTCATACTTGTAATCCCAGCATTTTGGGAGGCCAAGAGGAGAGGATTGCTTGAGTCCAGGAATTTGAGACTAGCCTGGGCAATGTAGTGAGACCCCATCTCTACAAAAAAATACAAAAATTAGCTGGGCATTGTGGTGCACAGGAGGCTAAGGTGGGAGGATCACTTGAGCCTGGGAATTCAAGGTGGCAGTGAGCCAAGATTGCACCACTGCACTCCAGCCTGGGAGACAGCAAGACTCTGTCTCATTTAAAAAAAAAAAAGTTTGGCCGGGCGCGGTGGCTCAAGCCTATAATCCCAGCACTTTGGGAGGCCAAGGCGGGTGGATCACGAGGTCAAGAGATCGAGACCATCCTGGTCAACATGGTGAAACCCCGTCTCTACTGAAAATACAAAACATTAGCTGGGCATGGTGGCGCGTGCCTGTAATCCCAGCTACCCAGGAGGCTGAGACAGGAGAATTGCCTGAACCCAGGAAGCGGAGGTTGTGGTGAGCCGAGATTGTGCCATTGCACTCCAGCCTGGGTAACAAGAGCAAAATTCCATCTCAAAAAAAAAAAAAAAAAAAAAAAAGTTTGAAAAGATTGCAATTTCTATGTCTAACATCTATAACCTGATATAAAGGATTGATTTAAGTTTTATGTCCTGCCTTCTCATAGACATTAGTAGTTTGATTAATAAATCATCCAAGAACAAAGCTTCTCTACTAAAAATACAAAAATTAGCTGGGCGTGGTGGTGTGCACCTGTAATCCCAGCTACTTAGGAGGCTGAGGCAGGAGAATCATTTGAACCGGGGTGGCGGAGGTTGCAGTGAGCCAAGATTGAGCCACTGCACTCCAGCCTGGCGATAGAACAAGACTCTGTCTCAAACAAAACAAAACAAAACAAAACAAAACCATGGGAGGCAGAAGGTTTGTAATCTCATCATTGTATTGTTGATGGTTTAGCAGGTAGGGGTAGGAATTAGGGCCAGTTCTTCATCATAGCCTTTTTTCAGATTTACCAGGTCTTTGGCCCTGTTGAAGAAAGGGCCAGAAACCTAGGTCTTGAGTTGTTTAACATCTGGGAGTTGGAAACAAGACACCTAGGTTGCTTCATGCTTCAGGACTGGGAGCCTCCTATTCTCTGCTGGGTGTGGTGGCTCATGTCTATAATCCCAGCGTTTTGGGAGGCTAAGGTGGGAGGATTGCATGTTCCCAGGAGTTTGAGACCAGCTTGAGCGATATGGTGAGACCTCGTCTCTGCAGAAAATTAAAAGACAGGAATTAGCCTGGTGTGGTAGCACATACCTGTAGTCCAGCCTGCTTGGGATGATTGCTTGAGCCCAAGAAGTAGAGGTTGCAGTGAGCTGAGATCACACCACTGCACATCAGCCTGGGTGACACAGCAAGACACTGTTTTTTTTTTTTTTTTTTTTTGAGACGGAGTTTCGCTCTTGTTAACCCAGGCTGGAGTGCAATGGCACGATCTCGGCTCACCGCAACCTCCGCCTCCTGGGTTCAGGCAACTCTCCTGCCTCAGCCTCCTGAGTAGCTGGGATTACAGGCACACACCACCATGCCCAGCTAATTTTTTGTATTTTTAGTAGAGACGGGGTTTCACCATGTTGACCAGGCTGGTCTCGATCTCTTGACCTCGTGATCCACCCGCCTCGGCCTCCCAAAGTGCTGGGATTACAGGCTTGAGCCACCGCGCCCGGCAAGACACTGTTGTATTAAAAAAAAAAAAAAAAAAAAAAAAGACTGGGCGCGGTGACTCAAGCCTGTAATCCCAGCACTTTGGGAGGCCGAGGCGGGTGGATCACGAGGTCAAGAGATCGAGACCATCCTGGTCAACATGGTGAAACCCCGTCTCTACTAAAAATACTAAAAATTAGCTGAGCATGGTCGCGCGTGCCTGTCATCCCAGCTACTCAGGAGGCTGAGGCAGGAGAATTGCCTGAACCCAGGAGGCGGAGGTTGCGGTGAGCCGAGATCGCGCCATTGCACTCCAGCCTGGGTAACAAGAGCGAAACCCTGTCTCAAAAAAAAGTATTTCCTACTTAGGACCTAACAAATTAGCTATACTTGATGACCAGCTTTTGACTGAAAAATTCATTGTTGGATTGCACTGTCATTAACAAACTGCTGTGGTATATCATTAAAAAAATAGAAGTTAGAGGCCAGGTATGGTGGCTCACGCCTGTAATCTCAGCACTTTGAGAGGCCAACGTGGGTGGATCATGAGGTCAGCAGTTCAAGACTACCCTGACCAAGATGGTGAAACCCTGTCTCTACTAAAAATATAAAAATTAGCTGGGCACAATGGCAGGTGCCTGTAATCACAGCTACTGGGGAGGCTGAGGCAGGAGCATTGCTTGAACCTGGGGGACAGAGGTTGCGGTGAGCCGAGATCGCGCCATTGCACCCCAGCCTGGGGGACAGAGTGAGACTGCATCTCAAAAAAAACCAAGTAAAATAATTTTCTTCTTGCCTACAGATAGAATTGAAAGGATATAAATTAATAATTTATTAAAGGTATTGTTATTTATGTTCAATAGCTCTTCACTGGAACCGGAAAAGAAAACCGAAAAGCCATTGACTTCAGTCCAGAAAAAAGAGTAAGTATTTTATTTTATTTTTGAATATATTCTATTGCTACATTTTAAAAAAATGGAATCAAATGGTGTTTCCTGTTGTGGTTGGATTACATTTGATTGGGGTTGGGCACAGTGGCTCACACCTGTAATCTCAGCACTTTGGGAAGCCAAGATGGGAGGATTGCCCAAAGTCAGGAGTTAAGACCAGCCCGGGCATCATAGTGACATTCTGACTCTACAAAAAATGTTAAGAGTAGCTGCACATGGTGGCAGGTACTTATAATGCCCTGCCTTTTAATAAAAACAGTAGGAGTTATTCAGGAGGCTGAGGTGGGAGGATTGCTTCAGCCCACATATTCAAGGCTGTAGTGAACTATGATCACACTGCTGCATTCCATCCTGGGTGACAGAGCTAGAGCTTATCTCTTAAAAAAAATTACATTTGAGGCCGGGCGCGGTGGCTCAAGCCTGTAATCCCAGCACTTTGGGAGGCCGAGGCGGGTGGATCACGAGGTCGAGAGATCGAGACCATCCTGGTCAACATGGTGAAACCCCGTCTCTACTAAAAATACAAAAAATTAGCTGGGCATGGTGGCACGTGCCTGTAATCCCAGCTACTCAGGAGGCTGAGGCAGGAGAATTGCCTGAACCCAGGAGGCGGAGGTTGCGGTGAGCCGAGATCGCGCCATTGCACTCCAGCCTGGGTAACAAGAGCGAAACCGCGTCTCAAAAAAAAAAAAAAAAAAAAAAAAAAAAAAAAAAAATTACATTTGGGCTGGGCGCAGTGGCTCACACCTGTAATCCAAGCACTTTGGGAGGCTGAGGCGGTGGATCACAAGGTCAGGAGTTCAAGACCAACCTGACTAACGTGGAGAAACCCCGTCTCTACTAAAAATACAAAATCAGCCAGGCGTGGTGGCACATGCTTGTAATCTCAGCTACTGGGAAGGCTGAGGCAAGAGAATCGCTTAAACACAGGAGGCAGAGGTTGCAGTGAGCCAAGATTGTGCCATTGCTTTCTAGCCTGGGCAACAAGAGCAAAACTCTGTTTCAAAAAACAAAAACAAAAAAAAAATTACATTTGGTTGGACTTCTGTTTTCGTAATTTAAAAAATTTAATTTAATTTTTGAGACAGGGTGTTGCTGTGTCATGCAGACTGGAGTGCAGTGGTGTGAACACAGCTTGCTGTAGCCCTGACCTCCTGGGCTCAAACGATCCTCCTGCCTCAGCCTCCTGAGTAGCTGGGAGTACAGTTGTGTGCCACCACACTTGGCTAAACTTTTTAATTTTTGAAGAGTTTTTTCCATAGAGATAAGTTTTACTCTGTTGCCCAGGCTGGTGGTCTTGAACTTAAGCTCAAATAATCCTCCTGCCTCAGCCTCCAAACGTGCTAGGATTACAGGCATGAGCTGCTGCATCTGGCTATTTTCCTTAAGGCTCAAATAAGTATGAAAATACCTTGAAGGATTATACTGAAATGTTAATCAAATAATGTAGAAACTAATGCTATATAACTATAATCATTATTATTATTATTATTTATTTATTTTTTTTTGAGATGGAGTTTCGCTTTTGTTACCCAGGCTGGAGTGCAATGGTGCGATCTCGGCTCACCGCCACCTTCGCCTCCTGGGCTCAGGCAATTCTCCTGCCTCAGCCTCCTGAGTAGCTGGGATTACAGGCACGTGCCACCATGCCCAGCTAATTTTTTGTATTTTTAGTAGAGACGGGGTTTCACTATGTTGACCAGGATGGTCTCGATCTCTTGACCTCGTGATCCACCCGCCTCGGCCTCCCAAAGTGCTGGGATTACAGGCTTGAGCCACCGCACCCGGCTATAATCATTATTATTATTTTACAGATAGAGTCTTGGACAGTCTCCCAGGCTGGGGTGCAGTGCTGTGATTAAAATCTTAGTCTCAAGAGATACTCCTGCCTCAGCCTCTGAGAAGCTGGGACTGTAGGCATATATCACCATGTTAGGCTAATTTTTAAATTTTTTTGTAGAGATAGGGTCTTGCTATGTTGCCTAGGCTGATCTCAACTCCTGGCCTCAAGTGATCTTCCTGCCTTGGCCTCCAAAAGTGCTAGGATTACAGGCATGAACCACCATGCCCTGCCTGTTTCTCTTTATTTTAAAAGAGATTAATGACTTTTTACTAAGTGCCTCCAGATAAAACTGAAGAAAAATCCTGTAATTGTGTCCTTAACAACACATACTGTTTTCATTTGGATTATAGGGAAAGTTGGAAATAGCTAGAATGTTGAGTTTGTAATCATTTATTTTAAATTTTATACTATTCAAGAAATACTTCTCATGCCTATATGAATTAACTTATCTTTATATTTGGTAGGCAAGAAGGTAAGAGAACTCCTAATGCTGAAGATAATGAAATGGAAGAAGAGACAGATGATGGGGCATTACTGGTTCCTCGGGTAAAAGTGGCAGAAGATGGTTCTATTATTTTGGATGAAGAAAGGTATTTTAAAAAGAGAGAATGTGAGATTGTGCTTTCATGAGAACAAATATGCTTTGTCCAGTGAGAGAGATCCTCTTTCTATATTGTCCTTTGTCACTTAGACCTTGATGTTTATATTTGCATAATGAATATTATAAATAGAAAAATGGGTGAGATTAATTTATAAATTTTAGTAATTTTTTTCTCTCCCTATCCCACCCAGTTTTAGTAATTTTTATAACTATTTTATATGAGAAGATGACCTATCATCTATTAACCTAACACCGTTGTTTTATCATCTTTGCTGGTCATTGAGTCAAGCTATTGAACTAATCATATGCTGTCTTCCACTGAGGATAAATTTCTAAGATTGACGCAGTCTTGAAGTCAGTATTCAAGTTCTCATATTATTAAGAGCATATCCTAGCGTGTGGTAATAACTAATGAATATGCAATGAAATGTGGGTTTAATATATTTTGTGATTTTTGTTACGGTGAGGTTTAATTCATCTTCTGGTTTAATTTCTCAGTTATAACATTAAATTTCTCACATTGTGCATTGTGGAATTTGGAATTTGGTTGTCTTTTTTAAGGTTTTTTTTTTGGAGTCTCGCTCTGTCTCCAGGCTGGAGTGCAGTGGCACAATCTGGGCTCACGGCAACCTCTGCCCCCTGGGTTCAAGTGATTCCACTGCCTCAGCCTCGCTAGTAACTGGGATTACAGGCACACAACACTATGCCTGGCTCATTTTTGTATTTTTAGTAGAGACGAGGTTTTGCCATGTTGGCCAGGGTAGTCTCGATCTTCTAATCTCGTGATCTGCCTGCCTCGGTCTCCCAAAGTGCTGGGATTACAGGTGTGAGCCATCACACCCGGCTAGGATATTTTTTTTAAAAAAGATGATAAATTAGTAAGTAAATAAATACAGCATTGGAAGGCCTTTTGAGAGTTTAGTTAGTGAAAAATAATTTTACAATATTGACATTCTATAATTAAGCATTAATACTGCTAATAATAGTTGTTTTTGTGTGCTGTTTTCCATTAGTTTGTAATGATGATTTTACTGGTCATTAAATAGTTAAAAGCATATTTAACTGCTTTGTCTGCAGGAATGTAAAACATAAGTGCTTCTGTTTTTCAAAATTTCCATTGAGTCCAGCACAGTAATACATACTGAATATCAAAGATATGTGGAAGTCAATAATACTTTTTTGTAATAGGTAGCCCAAAGATATTTTGTAAATATTATGTTGCTGTTAACGGATTTTGAAAATGAGTTGACATTTCTTTCTGCCCTCTTGGAATCACGTTTGAAAGTAAAACTTAGCAGGTGCTTGGAAAATACCTGTATTTCACGTAAATATTGTGCTTTTGATACGATTGCCATGCTAAATTTCAAAGTATAATTATTTAAATCTCATTTACTATTTGTTTCTTTACTCGTTTTTAGTATAGATCTATTTAAAAATGTGTTTATTTCAGTTTAACTGTAGAAGTTTTAAGAACAAAAGGCCCTTGTGTTGTTGAAGAAAATGACCCCATATTTGAGCGTGGTTCTACAACTACTTACTCCAGCTTTAGGAAAAACTATTACTCTAAACCATGGTCAAATAAAGGTAACTAATTTTCATTTAAAAGTGTGTAAATTATTTATTTGAAATGAAGTGACTGTTTTTGAATTAAATCAGGTCTCCCCTAAGTAAATAAAATGCAAACTACCATTTTATTCCAACTAATTTTATTAACACCTATATCTTTTTTTTTTTTTTTGAGACGGAGTTTCGCTGTCGTTACCCAGGCTGGAGTGCAATGGTGCAGTCTCGGCTCACCGCAACCTCCACCTCCTGGGTTCAGGCAATTCTCCTGCCTCAGCCTCCTGAGTAGCTGGGATTACAGGCACGTGCCACCATGCCCAGCTAATTTTTTGTATTTTTAGTAGAGACGGGGTTTCACCATGTTGACCAGGATGGTCTCTATCTCTTGACCTTGTGATCCACCCGCCTTAGCCTCCCATAGTGCTGGGATTACAGGCTTGAGCCACCGCGCCCTGCTAACACCTATATCTTTTTAAAAAATTTAAAAAAAATTTTAAAAATAATATAAAAAATTTAATTTCTTTTTTTCTAAGACAGGGTTTCACCATGTTGGTCAGGCTAGTCTCCAAGACCTGGCCTCAAGTGATCCACCTGCTTCGGCCTCCCAAAGTGCTGGGATTACAGGCATGAGCCACCACGTTCAGCCTAACACCTATATCTTATGCCCTCCATGGAACGGTATCTCTGACTTTGAGGTAGTAGGATCACTAGAGGCCAGGAGTTTGAGACAAGCCTGGACAACAAAGCAAGACCTCATTTTTACAAAAAAATTAAGGAAAAAAATCTGGAAAGTAGAGATAGGGTCTTGATTGATTGCCAAGGCTGGAGTGCAGTAGAACGATCATAGTTCATAGCTGCAGCCTTGAATTCCTGGGCTCATGTGGTCTTCATGTCTCAGCCTTCCAGAGTAGGTAGCACTATAGGTGTGTGCCACCATACCCACTATTTTTTTTTTTGAGATGGTATTTAGCTCTTGTTTCCCAGGCTGGAGTGCAATGGCACAATCTCTGCTCACCGCAATCTCTACCTCCCAGGTTCAAGCAATTCTCCTGCCTCAGCTTCTTGAGTAGTTAGGATTATAGGCAGCTACCACCATGCCCAGTTAATTTTTGTATTTTTAGTAGAGACAGGGTTTCACTTTGTTGGCCAGGCTGGTCTCAAACTCCTGACCTCAGGTAATCTACCCACCTCAGCCTCCCAAAGTGCTGGGATTACAGGTGTGAGCCACTGTGCCAGACCTGTTTTTTGGATTTTTTTTGTAGAAATGAGGTCTCAGTATGTTGCCCAGGCTGGTCTCCAACGCCTATGCTCAAGTGATCCTCATGCCTTCACCTCCCAAAGTGTTGGGATTACAGGCATGAGCCACTGTGCCTGGCCCTGAAATATATTTTTTTTCTGTTCTTTTTTATTTTTATTTTTTAAGTTTCTTTTAGTCACTATTCTGCTGAAAGAAATCTTTTTAAAGAATTAACTTTATAGTCATTTTGGCTGGAATCTTTCTCTGTCAAATCCCTGTACAACAAATACCAATTAAGTAAAAGTTAACAATAGACTATTTCTTTTTTTTTTAAACCCCATTTTGCCGATAACAATAGAGTATTTCTAATGGTCCTAATGTTCTACCTCAGATAAAATTGTATAATAAAGTCTCTAGATAAATATTATGCTGTTAAAAATCTGTTGCATGCTGGTGCTTATTATATTTATTTTAAAAACAGTAGTTTTGGGGAAAAATTCAAACAGCAGAATATAGAGTATAAGGAAAGACTCTATACTTCCCTTCTTTGACTTTCCTGTTCCTGTTCTTCTGAGGTGTAACTTCTGTTAATGGTTTTTTTTTTTGAGACGGAGTTTTGCCCTGTCACCCAGGGTGGAGTGCAGTGGCATGGTCTTGGCTCACTGCAACTTCCACCTCCCAGGTTCAAACTATTCTCCTTCTTCAGCCTCGTGAGTAGCTGGGATTACAGGCATGTGTCACCGAGCCCAGCTAATTTCTGTATTTTTTGCAGAGATGGGGTTTCACCATGTTGGCCAGGATGGTCTCAAACTCCTGACCTCAAGAGATCTGCCTGCCTTGGCCTCCCAAAGTATTGGAATTACAAGTGTGAGCCACCGTGCATGGCCTCTTGTGTGGTTTTCTAGCTACCTTCTTCATATACTAAGCACATTTTAGTTGTTTACATAGTGTAACCTTATCCTGACTATGACTTACAGTTTTCTTCAGGGCACTTTGAATAAATCAGCAAGGCAGAATGAATGTCTTAAAAAAAAATTCCGCTGCTTTATATGATCTCTTTTCTTTTCTCTTTTCCCTTTTTTGTTTTCCCTTTCCTCTTTTCCTGTTTCTTCCCTTTCCTTTCCTTTCATTTTTCCTTTCGTCTGTCTTTTTCGAGGTGGAGTCTAACTCTGTTGCCCAGGTTGGAGTGCAGTGGCGCCATCTCAGCTCACTGCAACCTCTGCCTCCCAGGTTCGAGCTATTCTCCTGCCTCAGCCTCCCTAGTAGCTGGGATTACAGGTGCACACCACCATGCCGGGTTCATTTGATTTTTAATTTTTAGTAGAGACGAGGTTTCGCCAAGTTGGCCTGACTGGTCTTGAACTCTTGACCTCAAATGATTTGCACTCCCTTGGCTTCCCAAAGTGGTGGGATTATAGGTGTGAGCCACCATGCCTTCATATGATTTCTTATACTGAAAAGTTTTTATTTATAAGGTGTTTTTAGATATTCCATGGTGAGCTTTCCAGTCAAATTAACTACTGTCAAATTTTGTAAGATTTATTTTTTCTGAAATGTTGAGAGGATTAATTTTTTAGTCATTCTAAATCTTTTGTTTTCACAGAAACAGATATGTTTTTTTTAGCCATCAGCATGGTGGGAACTGACTTTTCTATGATCGGACAGCTTTTCCCTCACAGAGCAAGGATAGAAATTAAGGTAAAATAAACCCATCACATTTGTTCATTGCAAAGAGACCATACATTACAAATGTTAGTAGTATTACTTGTTTACCTTTGGTTTAAATCTCAGTTCTTCTATTTTTTTTTAATGGAGACAGTGTTACACTTTTTAAAAAAATTTATTTTAACCATTTATCTTTGATTAAAAATAAAGGACTTGTTTAGTCTTCTATTGCTGTATAACACACTATTATGATTTTATTTATTTATTTGTTTATTATACTTTAAGTTCTGGGATACACGTGCAGAACATGCAGATTTGTTTCATGGGTATACATGTGCCATGGTGGTTTGCTGCATCCATCACCCCATCATCTACGTTAGGTATTTCTCCTAATGCTATTCCTCCCCAATTCCCCCACCCACTGCTATCACTCCGCTAGTTCCCCATCGCTGGACAGGCCCGGATGTGTGATGTTCCCCTCCCTGTGTTCCTGTGTTCTCAGTGTTCAGCACCCACTTATGAGTGAGAGCATGTGGTGTTTGGTTTCCTGTTTTTGTGTCAGTTTGCTAAGAATGATAGTTTCCAACTTCATTCATGTCCCTGCAGAGGACACCACAGAATTTCACTTTGTTGCCCAAACTAGAGTACAGTGGCACGGTCTCGGCTCACTACACCCTCCATCTCCTGGGTTCAAGCAGTTCTCATACTTCAGCCTCCCACATAGCTGGTATTACAGGCGCCTGCCACCACATCTGTCTGATTTTTTTTTTTTTTGTATTTTAGTAGAGATGGGGTTTCACCATGTTGCCCAGGCTGGTCTCGAACTCATGAGCTCAGGCAGTCTGCCCATCTCGGCCTCCCAAAGTGCTAGGATTACAAATGTGAGCCAAGTTTTTTGGTTTTGTCTTGCTTTTAATGATTATAATTTTATTACATTTATCCCTCCTTATTGATTGATTTGGGAAGAAAATGCTTTCTGATGGTATGAAAGGCAAAATTAAAAGTTTTTTCTTTCTTTCTTTTTTTTTTTTTTGAGATGAAGTCTCACTCTGTTACCCAGTCTAGAGTGCAGTGGCACAATCTGATCTCACTGCAACCTCTGTCTCCTCATTTCATACGATTCTCCTGCCTCAGCCTCCTGAGGTGCCTGTCCACCATGCCTGGCTAATTTTTGGATTTTTAGTAGAGATGTGGTTTACCATGTTGACTAGGCTGGTCTTGAACTCCTGACCTCAAGTGATCCACCTGCCTTGGCCTCCCAAAGTGCTGGGATTACAGGTGTGACCAACCATGCCTAGCCTCCAGTATAAAATTTTAAGAATTAGGCCGGGCGCGGTGGCTCAAGCCTGTAATCCCAGCACTTTGGAAGGCCGAGGCGGGTGGATCACAAGGTCAACAGATCAAGACCATCCTGGTCAACATGGTGAAACCCCGTCTCTACTAAAAATACAAAAAATTAGCTGGGCATGGTGGCACATGCCTGTAATCCCAGCTACTCAGGAGGCTGAGGCAGGAGAATTGCTTGAACCCAGGAGGCGGAGGTTGTGGTGAGCCGAGATCGTGCCATTGCACTCCAGCCTGGGTAACAAGGGTGAAACTCCGTCTCAAAAAAAAAAAAAAAAAAAAAAAAAAAAAAAAAATTTTTAAGAATTATTATTACTGATTAAGGTTATAAAACGCATAACACTAATTACTTGCCAGCTATTGGTAGTCTTTTTCTTCTCTTCTTCATCCAGGGAACCGTTAAATTACATTTTTGGCAGAATAATTTTTTTCTTTTTTTACAGAATAATTTTTTTTTTTTTTTTTTGAGAGTGAGTCTTGTTCCATCACCCAGGCTGGAGTACAATGGCACCATCTCAGCTCACTGCAACCTCTGCCTCCCAGTTTTAAGCAACACTCCTGCCTCAGCCTCCCAAGTAGCTGGGATTACAGGCACCTGCTATCATGCCCTGCTAACTTTTGCATTTTTAGTAGAGACGGGGTTTCACCCTGCTGGCCAGGCTGGTCTTGAACCCCTGACCTCAAGTGACCCGCCCAACTCGGCCTCCCAAAGTGCTGCAATTACAGGCTTGAGCCACCACGCCTGGCCTGCAGAGTAATTCCTTTTTTTTTTTTTTTGAGACAGAGTTTTGCTCTTGTTACCCAGACTGGAGTGCAGCGGTGCGATCTCAGCTCACCACAACCTCCGCCTCTTGGGTTCAGGCAATTCTCTTGCCTCAGCCTCCTGAGTAGCTGGGATTACAGGCACACGCCACCATGCCCAGCTAATTTTTTGTATTTTTAGTAGAGAGGGGTTTCACCATGTTGACCAGGATGGTCTCGATCTCTTGACCTCGTGATCCACCCGCCTCGGCCTCCCAAAGTGCTGGGATTACAGGCTTGAGCCACCGCACCCAGCCTCAGAGTGATTCTTAAGTGTACTTTATTTTAATTTTTTTGAGACAAGTTCTTGCTCTGTTACGCAGCGTGGAGTACATGGGCATGATCACGGCTCACTGTAGCCTGTATCTTGGCTCACTGCAGCCTCTATCTCCGGGCTCAAACAATCCTCATACCTTAGCTTCTTAGGTAGCCTGGGCTGCAGGCACATGCCTGGCTAATTAAAAAAATTTTTTTTGGGCCGGGCGTGGTGGCTCAAGCCTGTAATCCCAGCACTTTGGGAGGCTGAGGCGGGTGGATCACGAAGTCAAGAGATCGAGACCATCCTGGTCAACATGGTGAAACCCCGTCTCTACTAAAAATACAAAAAATTAGCTGGGCATGGTGGCGCGTGCCTGTAATCCCAGCTACTCAGGAGGCTGAGGCAAGAGAATTGCCTGAACCCAGGAGGCGGAGGTTGTGGTGAGCCGAGATTGCGCCATTGCACTCCAGCCTGGGTAACAAGAGTGAAACTCAGTCTCAAAAAAAAAAAAAATTTTTTTTTTGTAGAGACTAAGTCTCACTATGTAGCCCAGGCTGGTCTCGAACTTCTGGACTCAAGCGATCCTCTTGCCTTGCCCTCCCAAAATGTTGGGATTACAGGCATGAGCCACTGTGCCTGGTCCGTAAATGTACTTCATAAGCAAAATGAGAGCTTTTGTTTATGTAGTGTTTTGGATTTTGCTGTTCCTAATTTTATTCTGAAACTCAATTTTACTCCAAGCCATAAATTACATACTATGTAATGCACAGTTGTTTGTAATTTAGCAAAGCAGTAGTTCATCATCAGAGGTTGTATTCACCTAGAGGTTAGGAAAACTGGGATTGGTCACACCATTTAAAACAAGTCTATCTCATGTTATTTGCCAATGTGTAGTTTCAGTCTAATTTCTGACTATGAAATTATATAGCTATGTGTCTGTGAGATGAGATATCTTGATTTTCAAAAGTAGCCAAAGGAGTTCCTCATAGCTTACCTTTGCCTGGCTGAAGCTGAAAACTTTGTGACTTCATAGCCAGACCCATGTTGCCAGTGATTTTAACTCTGCCTTGAAAGAAGGCAAACTGAGAGTTCATTTTACCAGTTTATTCACTAAAGTCAGTAAATCCTCGTCAGTCTGTGATTGTGTGGTCAGCTTTCTTTCTTTCTTTCTTTCTTTTTTTTTTTTTTTTGAGACGGAGTTTTGCCCTTGTTACCCAGGCTGGAATGCAATGGCGCGATCTCAGCTCACCGCAACCTCTGCCTCCTGGGTTCAGGCAATTCTTTTTTTTTTTTTTTGAGACAGAGTTTCACTCTTGTTACCCAGGCTGGAGTGCAATGGCACGATCTTGGCTCACCGCAACCTCCGCCTCCTGGGTTCAGGCAATTCTCCTGCCTCAGCCTCCTGAGTAGCTGGGATTACAGGCACGTGCCACCATGCCCTGCTAATTTTTGGTATTTTTAGTAGAGATGGGGTTTCACCATGTTGACCAGGATGGTCTCGATCTCTTGACCTCGTGATCCACCCGCCTTGGCCTCCCAAAGTGCTAGGATTACAGGCGTGAGCCACCACGCCCGGCCGGTTCAGACAATTCTTTTGCCTCAGTCTCCTGAGTAGCTGGGATTACAGGCACGTGCCACCATGCCCAGCTAATTTTTTGTATTTTTAGTATAGACAGGGTTTCGCCATGTTGACCAGGATGGTCTCGATCTCTTGACCTCGTGATCCACCTACCTCAGCCTCCCAAAGTGCTGGGATTACAGGCTTGAACCACCGCGCCTGGCCCGCTTCTTTTTTTTTTTTTTTCTTGAGACAGAGTCTCGCTCTGCGCCAGGCACCAGGCTGGAGTGCAGTGGTGTGATCTCGGCTCACTGCAACCTCTGCTTTCCGGGTTCAAGCAATTCTGCCTCAGCCTTCTGAGTAGCTGGAACTACAGGCATGTTCCACCACGCCCAGCTAATTTTTTGTATTTTTTAGTAGAGACGGGGTTTCACCATGTTGGCCTGGATGGTCTCAATCTCTTGACCTTGTGATCCGCACGCCTCGGCTTCCCAAAGTGCTGGGATTACAGGCGTGAGCCACTGCACCTGGCCAGCTTTCTTAGGAGTTAGAAAGCGCTGATCCTTTGCTGTTCTTTACATCCACCACTAGGTGGCTTCTTTACCCCCTGGGCCATTCATTCTTCACCTCGACAGCAAAAATACCACCCATTTTCTTCACAAACTGTCCCCTTTCTTCTTCAGGCTTCCTCTCAATCTTTGTAAACACAAGATTTGCCTTAAATCCATTCCCTGTAAAGCTGGTTGGGAGTAGCCTCAATTTGATGAGTTTTTTGTTTGTTTTTGAGATGGAATTTCTCTCTTGTTGCCCAAGGTGGAGTGCAATGGCACAATCTCGGTTCACTGCAACCTCTGCCTCCCGGGTTCAAGCGATTCTCCTGCCTCAGCCTGCTGAGTAGCTGGGACTACAGGTGTGCACTACCATGTCCAGCTAATTTTTGTGTTTTTAATTGAGACGAGGTTTCTCTGTATTGGTCAGGCTGGTCTTGAACTCCTGACCTCAGGTGATGTGCTTGCCTCAGTCTCCCACAGTGCTGGCATTACAGGTGTAAGCCACCGTGCCCAGCCTTTT